GGGGCGCCAGGGGAGCGGCCTGCGCTTCTGGGGTGGGGTCCCCGAGTTGATCCAGATTGGTGAGGACATGGAAGGTGGCGATAGGGGCCGAGCGACTCAGACTGTGGCCTGCCTGGAGGTGGCCCAGCCAGCGCTCCTGAGGGTCTTCCCCACCCTGGACCACCCCACCCGGTGGCCAAGTTGGAGTCCCGGGCACCCCACTGGCGTTTAATGCTCTGGGTCAGTCTGCCCGCCCCCGCTGGCTCCCCACCTTCGCTTGATTCTAACAGAGGGGCAACAGTCCTCAGTGGGAGGGCCCCTTAGACTGAGGCTCCCTTGGGCCAGTGGGAACCTAGGGGGCAGGGCGTGCTGGGTGGATGTAGCTGGAGACTCCCCACCCTGGGACCCTGAGCCCAGTGGGCCCTTCTCCATGGAGCTGGGGAGGGGGTTCTGGCTAGGTGCTTTCCTTGGGGGTGGCACATTGGGCTAGTGACTGCTTCAGACATGGCCACAGGTGGAGTCCAGAGGACCAGACGGAGCCTGCTGGGTGGGGGAGTGGCCCCCAGGAGGCGCCCGAAGTGTGGTCACAGAGAGGGTAGGTGGGAGCCCCTCTGGTTCCAGCCTCCCCTCCACTTCCCCACCCTGTCCCTTCCAGAGCCCCACTGGTCTCTCCTCTCCAGACTGGGAGGGTGGTCCTGTGCCTCACCTGCCCGGCTCAGGGGCTGGGCCCGTTGTTCAGAGAGAGGAGGCAGCCTCCTGGGGCAGCAGGGTCAGGCTGGGTCAGAGCCCTGGGCCGGTGATCAGCTCCCTTGCCTTAGGGTTTTCATGGGAAACAGGACAGGTCTCTGGAAAGAGCCTGCCGCTCCAGGGGAACCCTGGGATCCTGGCCCTCAGGGACAGCCCAGGGGACCTTGCTTATCTCCCACAGCTTGTCTGCATGGCTGTCCAGGTCTGGCCGCTGCCCAGAGCTGCTCCACTCAGTCTCCCAGGGCAGTGTTTGTACCTTGGCCAGCTTCCACCATGGACAGCTCCCAGCTCCCCTCTTGCTCTTCACGACAGGCAGGATCCGCATCCCCTGTGGAGTTGCATAGAAGCTCCCTCCCAAGTTCTGTAGCTGTTTGGCTTCTGTTCAGTCTCCTCTGGCTGCCAGGTGACCCACAGGCACCAGTGCTGTCCCCTTCAGACAGGAGTCTGGGACGCCAATCATGTCCCCAGCTTCAGAGTCTGCAGGACCGGCTGGGCTCCTGCCTTATGGGTTTGTCATCCTGTGACACAGGGTCTATAGACAGATGGGCCCCTTTCAACATGTCTGTAAATGACCCTCTAGCTGCTTTGGGGGACCCTGGACTCCATGATTTTGGGTCCAACAGATGAGGTGTTTAGGGGGGTGTTCAAATCCTAGGGAAGTGGGGGCACCAACTTGCAGGGTTAGGGGTGCTGGGCAAGAGAAATAGGCCAAGGTTCCCAGCAGATCTTTGGACCCCAACTGTCCAGGCCCTCGTCTCCAATGTAGCCCCATAGCTGGGGGCAGGAGGATTCTCAGGAAGGACACTAGATTCCAGTGGGACGGCTTCTGTTGTTTCCCTGAGCTGGAGGACAGAGAGCTGATGGTCACCTTGCAGTCACCCTGGGTGTGGGACCACTCTTCGCCTCTGCTGCCCTGCTACTCCCCTGACATCATTTTGGGAATGCCCGGGTCTTGGTGGACTGCGGTGTGGGGGTCCCGGTGAGGTGAGGCACCATTCTGCCGGAGGAGCCTGGTTTCCAGCCTGCTGGGAGCATGGTCCATGAGAAGCCCACATTTTGGGGGGGGTGGACACCCCGAGAGTCCCCTCCTGGCTTTGGGGTCCTTTCCCCACTCCGACTTCATTTTCTAACGGCTTCCTTTAACTATGGGTTGGGAATTTTGTTGTGCTTTTATTTTCTTCTGCAATTATGTGTTTTCTTTAATGGCCCCAATTTTAATTAAATACTGCTTTGCCAGTTTCAAATAATGGAGATTAAAATGTAGAACTGGAGTCTTGCATAAAGATGCAAACAAGTGTCGGCCTGGGGTGGGGGTGGAGGTGGAGGTGGAGGGCAGGAGGGTTTCCCTGGGGAGCATGGCCCATGGGAGATGAGGTTCCTCACCCTAGCCTGTGAGGGTGGGACTGGGGGCCTCCCCTTCCAGCCCTGCCAGCCCATCAAGGTCTTAAATGAAAGTCCTACTAGGGTCACCTCCTCTCATCCCCCCGCCCCCCATGCTGGGGAGCTCAGGTCTCCAGGCTGGGGACAAGGACCCAGTTTTATTGCGAGCGGGGCTGGGCTAGGCCACCATTGTGGATCTTGCTCTCTGGGTACTCAGTACAGAGGCGATTTGGTCAGCTCTCTGGCCTAGTTGGGTGGTGCAGGCTGCAACCTCCCGTGTGCCCAGCTGAAGATGTATGTTAGGAAGCTGGTGGGCACCGAAGGGCCCTGCACTTATAGATCCTACCATGTAGTGACACTGGGGCCCCCCCTTGAAGAGACCTCCAGCGCACAGATCAGGAGAAGCGCATGAGGGTGCACGGTGCTTGAGCCACAATGCCTGTGTGCACAGGTGATGGATGGCTTCCAGGTGGGTCTTGTCTGACCAATTAGTGCCCTCTGGCTGGCACCAGGCCCTGCTGTTTCCATCTGTGCCAGCCCTTCTCAAACCTGTGTGTGTCTGAGAACCCCCTGGAAGGCTCCTTACGGCACAGGCTGCCTGTTCCCATGCCCCCAGCATATCAGATTCAGGGAGTCTGGGCTCGGGCCCAGAGATGCATGTCTAACAAGTTCCTTGGTGATGCCCATGGTGCTGGCCTGGGGACCCAGCTCTGAGAACTCTGCTTGAAATGAATTAAGCTCCATCTCAAAGTTGAAATGGTCCCAACTGGATACCATTTGGTATCCACACAAATGTGTGTGATGTCCCTTCACGTTTTGTGTGCGGTTCATGGCCAGTTTCTCGTAGTTGACCCTAATTTATACGGTGGTGGTGAGAAACCTCCTGGGTCCAGCTCAACCCCCTATTCCTTCATTTCCTTCATTTCCCATCGCCCATCCACAGATTCATCTATCTACCAACCACCTACCAATCCACCCATCTACCTATTTACCTGTTATGTTAGCCTGGGTAGACTAGAGAAACAAAATTCATAGACACTCATATTTTACGAGAAAGGTTTATATAAAGGGTAAGTATACATTAAGAAAGCATTCCAACCCAGGGCTGTCCAGACCCATAAGTCCAACATTAGCCCATATGTCTGACACCAATCTACAAAGTCCTCCTCAAATGCACGAAACACACACAATGTCGCCAACTGCAGGAGGAAAGCCGAATCAGTGATCGTGTAAACATCTCAGCACTGGCAGGGGTCTCCACACGGCTGCTCCAGCACCCAGGGCTGCATTAGGGTAGGTCCATGTGGCTTCTCCTCAGGCATGTCTTGCAGGAAGTGAGCCTTGCCAGCTGAGGCAAAGAACTAGCTAAGGCAGCCGCACATGGGTCAGACCATCAGAGAACAACAGACCAGAGAAACAAGAAAGATGAGGCTTACCAAGCCATTTATCTCTCTGCCCTTCAATTAATCCCATATGTGTTTATCATCCAGGTTGGCACAATAAACCTTAACTATCACATCCATTCACTTGCTTACCCATCCATCATCCATCCACCCATCCATTTGTTCCATCCATCCATCCATCCATCCATCCATCCATCCATCCATCCATCCATCCATCCACCTTTCAGCCAGCCATCCACCCATACATTCATTCCTTCCACCCATCCAGCCATCTATCCATCTTCAAAACCATTATGGCGCCCACCCCCCAGACAGGAAGGAGTGTGTGTGACGCTGTGAAGCTGAGCTGCCCTGTCCCTCTGCAGGCTGTTTGTCCTGGGCATCGGCTTCTTCACCCTCTGCTTCCTGATGACATCTCTGGGAGGCCAGTTCTCGGCGCGGCGCCTGGGGGACTCACCCTTCACCATCCGCACAGAAGGTATCTCGGTGGAGGAAGGGGATGTGGGTGTGTGTGCCTTTGAGCCTGGCACATGGAGACCCTCTGTATGGGGTCTGCTGTCTCAGGGTGGACGTGGCCCCGCTGCATGGCCTTACACACTATGTTATCTCTAGAGCTCGCTCTGGTCACTCAGGTGTCTGTCCTCTGGTCTGGATTCCCAGGGTCTGCAGGCATCAGAAGAGGCTGCCTTGCTGTTTCTCTAGGGCAGGGGTCCCTGGATATGACACCCACCTCTTTGAGACTCTCAGTCTCAGGCAGTGGGTGCAGAAGGAGGCAAGAGGGCAGGCCTGGCTTGGGCTCATTCGCTTTATCTCCGCACTCCGGGGACCGGGCTTGCTCAGTCCTTTGTGGTTCCTTGCCTACATCATCCTTGCAGGGTAGCGAGTAGAGGTTCAGGGCATGGCCTTTGGGCCCTGCATGCTGGTTCACACGAAGGAGCCGTGCGCCCTGGCTGGACAGAGAAGGGAGCGCGAAGGCCATCTGGGGCCGGTTTGGTTGAGCTCACACATGGAGGTTCCCAGCACAGTTCATGGCATGGGTGAGGTGAGCCTGAGACTTCTCCCTGAAGCTCATCCTGCCTGAAGAGGGGCGGAGACCATGCCAGGCCCTGGGAGCTGTGCCACGCAGGCCCTTCTTGTCTTGGATGGGAAGGGGAAACAGGGTAGTGAGGACTGAGGCAAATGGGCCTTCAGGGGCTGTTCAGAAGGCTGACTCTGTGGACCTTCTCCTGCCCCTCTGGAAGAGTCTCTTTTTGAAGTCTATCCTGTCCAGAGAGGCTCCGTAGATGTTGTAAGGATGGATAGTTGGATGGTTGGGTGGATGAGAGATGAATAGATGAGGAGATGAACATGTACATGATAGATGGACAAGTGGGTGAATGGATGGATGTATACATGGATGCAAGTGGATGGATCAGTAGGTGATGGATGGGCGGATGGGTCAGAGGGTGGGTGGATGGATGGATGCGTGGATATACGAGGGAGTACCCAAAAAACCTGGATTTTTTTTCAAAGCTATGTATTAATTTTTTTTTAATTTTATAAAGCAAATTTGTCACCTTTAAAGTACTCTCCATTACACTTAATACATTTGTCAAATCGGCGATTCCACTTTCTTGGAAGCATTTTTCAAAACTCATCTGTTTGCATGGCTGACAGTACCTCCCTCGTTTTTGTCTTCAATTCTTCTATGTCATCAAATCTCTGTCCTTTCATGCCCTTCTTTATTCACGGAAACAAAAAGAAGTCACACTGAGCGAGGTCAGGTGAGTAAGGTGTGTGGGGCAAGAGAGGGATGCTGTTTTGTTTGTTGTTGTTGGGTTTTTTTTGCCAAAAACTCCTGCACTGAGAAGGCTACACAAGCAGGTGCATTGTCATGGTGGAAAAAACAGTCCCCCATCTGCCACAAATCAAGCCTTCTTTGTCACACACTGTTATGCAATCTTTTCAGAACCTCTAAATAGAAAGCTTGATTAGCAGTCTGACCTGGTGAAATGAATTCCAATTGTACTACCCCCCTCACATCAGGGGAGCTTTTTTCTGTTTTGTTTTGTTGCTTTTTCCTGAGGGTGAGGTAAGGTACCCCCTCATAGATGGATGGTGAGTGGATAGATGGTTGCATAGATGGGTGGGCAAGTAGGAGTATGGGTGAATGCATGAATGTGTAGATGGTTGAATAAGTGGGAGGGTGGATGGGTGGATGGGGTAAGTGGATGAATATGTAGAAGGGTAAATGGTGGATAAATGGATGTTGAGTGGGTGACTGGGTAAGTGGATGGGTTGGGTGGGTGGATGGATTTGTGGATGAGTAAATGGATGGATAGATAGGTAAGTGGGTGGATGTATAGATGGAAGGATAGATAGATGAATGAATGAGTAAGTGGATGAGTGCATCAATGGATGGTTGCATAGATAGATGGGTAAGTGGGTGGGTGGATGAATAGATGGTTGGGTGGATGAGTAAGTAGATGGATGGATGGATGGATGGATGGATGGATGGATGAGTGCATGAGTGGATCAATGGATGGATGCATCAATAAATGGGTAAGTGGGTGAGTGAATGAAGAGATGGTTGGATGGATGATGGATGGATGCATGGATAGATGGATGGATGGATGGACAGATGAATGGATGGGTGAGTGGGTAGGTGGTTTGGTGGGTGGATGGATAGATGGAGAGGCTCAGTTCTTGGGCTCCTCTATCTCCAACACTGAAAAAATTCTCAGGTCATCAAAGGTGGATGCTCTGAGGGCACCAAGCAGCCTCTCCCAATCCAAGAACCTGCATGTCCACTCATTTTGGCATCTCATCACCAGTTGGGTCCCTTTGACCTAACGAGTATTTCTTTGAACTGGCAAACATGCTGGGAAGGAATGTCACTTTTTTATTATTAATCATTTTATTGGGAGCACTTACAGATATTATAACAATCCGTAATTCAATTTGATCAAAGCCTTTTTTTCCTTTTTTCTTTTTAAAATCATTTTATTGGGGGCTCTTCTCACTATCCATCTATTGTGTCAAACACATTTGTACATATGTTGCCATCATCATTTTCAAAACATTTTCTATCTACTTGAGCCTTTGGTATCAACTCATTTTCCCCCTCCCCGGCCCTCCCTCCCTCATGAACCGGTCTCCCTTCACCCACTTTCCTGTTGTCCGTTCCCCAGGGAGGGGGTTATATGTTGAGCCTTGTGATCAGTTCCCTCTTTCTCCCCACCACCTTCCCCTTTCCCTCCTGGTATCTCTACTCTCATTATTGGTCCTTAGGGGTTTATCTGTCCTGGATTCCCAGCTCTTATCTGTACCAGTGTACATGCTCTGGTCTAGCCAGATTTATAAGGTAGAATTGGGGTCAGGATAGTGGAGGGGGAGGAGGCATTAAAGAGCTAGAGGAAAGTTGCATGCTTCATCGTGCTATGCTGCACCCAACTGGCTTGGAATGGCACTTTTGATTAGTCATTCAAGTCAGAGGAGACTGATTTATCCCACGTCAAACTCTCAGTGCTGCTTCTTCTACGGTTCTGTCCTCTGCAAGCAGATAGTAAACCTGCCTCCGTTGTCATCGTCTGGGGATGAGTTAAGACAACACCGAAGGGCCTTGCAGAGTGTCCTGGGCAGTAGGGATTCCGTGCATATTTAATGAGGTGCTGCATCTGAAATGGGAGCCAGGGAAGAGGTGGCGGAGGTGCTGGTCTGAGGCAGGGGAGGGAGGGCAGAGGTTGGGAGTGTGTGGTGGAGATGGGCTCCAGGGACAATGGCTGGGGGTGGGGGGCGTGGTCCTGGAGGCCATGGGGGGTTGAGGAAGGAGGGGGAGAGATGCTAAAGCCACCTGGGTACCACCACTGGGAAGGTGGGCTGCTTCCAAGGGCTAGAGGAAGCTGGGCTTCCAGAAAGGTCCAGGGTCCCAGAGATAGCGAGGGGGGCTGGGGAGGGTGGTTTGTGGCTGGGTGCAGATTCTTTGGCTTATTTCTTGAAAGGGGTCCATGACCCCTCTCTCCCTTGTAGCCCCTGCCCAACCTGGGATAGGTGGGCCTGGTGACCCTGAACATAAGGGACTTGTGGGAGCCATCTCCTGCCCCCATAGGAGCCCTGGGCAGCTCTGTCCCAGGAGGACTGGGCAGCCCAGCCCCAGTGTCCTAGAGAGAGGCAGGGCCACAGAGGGTAGAGAGCTTGCCTGAGGTCTCACCAGCCCAAAGGTTTTCTTAAAACATCACATCCACTAACTGAAGCCGTCCATGCACCCGCATGGGGAAGCAAGGCCATCAGCACCCCGAAGGCCCCTGGAACCTGCCTCCAGCCACTGCCCCCAGGGGCTGGCACCGTGGGCACCACTCCAGCTCCTAGTGGCCTAGAGGGATTTTGCTCGTGTTTGTACTTTCTGTGGGTGCCTCTCTGTGCCTGGTTTCACCCGCTCAGTTTGGCCTTGGTGAGGGCCCTCTGTTGTGGGCTGTGCGGCTGCCCTTAGCCTGGCCTCCTAGCCAGGGGACAGTCCACTGCGGGACTCCTCCCTGGACAGCCGTCCCCTCTGCTGCTGTGACATCCAGCTTGTTTCTGCTTTGGGGCTTTTGTTGACTCGTAGTGAAGACCCTCTAGGATAGAGGAGGGAGCTCTGGTGGCATAGAGGTTATGCTGGACTGCTAACCACAAGATCGGCAGTTCAAACCCACCAGCCACCCCATGGGAGAAAGACGAGGCTATCTACTCCTGTAAAGAGTTACAGTCTTGGAAACCCACGGGGGCAGTTTCAGCCCTGTCTTATAGGGTCACTGTGGGTCGACATTGACTCGATGGGACTGAGTGAGATCAAGAAATGCCCCATGGGCGCCTCAGAAGCTGTACATCTTTACAGAAGCAGACAGCCTCATCTTTCTCCCAAAGAGCAGCTGGTGGGTTTGAACCGTTGACCTTACCAGGGCTCCTTCCCATGCACCTGAACCTTGGACGATGATACAGGAAGACCAAGGAAGACTCGATGCGTTTGAATTGTGGTGCCGGTGAAGAAACAAGCAAACCTCTCGGGGTGAAGTACGGGCAGAGTGCCCCTTGGCCGCAAAGCTGGGGAGATGGTCTCATGTACTTCGGACATGTGATCAGGAGAGATTCGCCCACTCACTGCCATCCAGTCAATAGGGATTCAGGAGAACTGTGCCTGTGGGTTTTCAAGGCTGCAGTTCTCTAAGGGAAGAGAGAGTCGATGGAGTGGCTTATCTTTCCCCTAGCAGACCACCAGGGCTCCTCAGGGCAGCCTCTTGATGATGTTGTCAGGTGCCAGCCAGTTGGTGCCCACCCACAGCGGCCCGTGCACCACAGAGGGAACTGCTGCCGGCCCCGCCTCCTCCTCACTGTGGTTCCTGTCCCCGAGCCCATCGTGGTAACCAGTGTCCCTCCATCTCATCGGGGGCCTGCCTCTTTTTTTGCTGCCCCTCCGCTTTACCAAGCACGATGTCCTTCTCCAGGGACTGGTCTCTCCTGACCACATGTCCGAAGTACGCGAGCCAACATCTTGCCGTCCTTGCCTCCAAGCACTGCTCTGGCCTTGCCCTCAGGAAACGAGTCCTTCGGAAGGCTGTCATGCGGAGTCAAGTTGAAGGTCAGTAGCAAGGACGAGAGGATCGGCACAGTGGCTGCAGCCACGGGCTCAGGTGTGAGCGCCGTGGTGCGGGGCGGCACAGGTCCGGACAGTGCTGTGTTGCGTTGGATGTCAGTCATGCAGAGGCCACCCACCACGGCAGCCCGCCCTTGGTCCCCATGCCTGTCTCGGGCACTGAGTGGCGGATCTGCTGTGACGCCAGGTCCCTGGCCGTGCTTCTCCAAGGCCGAGTCTGTTGGCTTCCCACGGTTCCCCTGGACTGGGCACGGAGGGCCTAGCCGAGGGAAGTAGCAGCTGGGAGAAGGGACAAGGACAGGACCCTCGCAGAGCCAGGTGGAACGGGCGCTGACTCAGTTTCCCCCTGCTCCCAACTCGCCATTTCCAGTGTCTCCCCGGCAGTGTCATTGTTGTCGGCTCCCCCACCCCCCATGTGCCGTGAAGTGAAGGTCTTTGCACGGCGTGTTCCTCCTCTTCCCCTCCTTGCTCATCCCGGGCAGAGATCCTGATACCCGCTGGTGGCCTCCCCCAAACACCCTTTCTTCCGCCCCCCTGGGTCTGGCACGGGACATTCCAAGCTTCTCCTGCTCACTGCTTGCCCTGAGAGATTCGGGGTCCAGGCACTGGGGGGACAGGTATTTGGGAGACAGGAAATGGGGGGACCGGCACGGGGGATGAAGGGGCCAGGCACCGGGGGACAGGCACTTGGGCCTGCAGAGCACTTTGCACTGTGGGCTGAAGGTCCTTCACCCTGCTGGGCACAGTGCAGTAACAGTCCCCACCTGGTGCCTGGAAAAGAGAGCAGGAGTGGGGCTCCCTGGTCGGGGTGGGGGTGGTCAACGTAGCACCCGGAGAAGAACTTCCCCCCACCCCTGCTCCCAGCACAGGCATGTGGGGAAGAATAAAACAAGAAGAAACAAAGTGATGCTCTGGGCAGTCCCCAGGGCCTTCTGGGCACGAATGAGAAACCCGCTTGCCTGGCTTCTCCTTCCAGGCCTTAGAGGGCCGAGGGTCCTCTGTGGCCAGCGGTGTGGAGAGCGAGCAGGGGAAGGCCCTGGAGAGAGAGGGAGCCTCTTATAGCTCCCCTGGGGGGGACTCTCGGCCCCCTTCGGGCTGGGGGCTAACTTGGTGGTCAGGCCTGTAGCCACCTGGGGATAAATCGTGAGGGGCCTCTCACTCTGTGCCCTGTGCTCTCGGGGAGGTCCCCACCGGGAGCAGGGGAGAAATCACCAGGGCGTCAGAAGCGGCGCACCCATGCACACCAATGGGGCACCTACTGCCCAGGAGAGACCCGGGCAGGGGCTTGGGTTGGAGACCAGTTAGCAGCGTGGGCTCACGATCCCCAACCAGGTCCTTCTGAAGATCTCCCTTCCTTCCCTCTTGTTGCAGTCAGGCCCCGTGTGTGCTCCTGGCCCAGTGTCCCTTCCCGCCTCCTGCCTTTACTGGGCGTCCCCCCGTTTTCTCCAACCACGGCTGCAGGGACGATGACAAGACGCTGGTGCCAGGCCTCCATCTCAGAGCGCACGTGGCTGTCCCTTCCTCTGTCTTGTCTTGAAGGAGTTGAGGTCAGAGGCCACTGGGCCGTGCTCTACCGGCCACTTGTGCCCTCCCTCCTGGACCAATCGCAGGATCGGAGCCCAGACTCCTGCAGAAATGCTTCCAGCTCGGAGGCTCATCCCAGCATGAGCCGTGCCCTTTGCTGATGGGCCAGGGTCGGAAGGGTCTGCCATATGTCTGCCCAGAGCCCAGAGCCCAGAGCCCAGAGCCCCACACCCATGGCCAGCCTCCCCAGGGGGCTGTGCATGGGCGGGGAGACAAAACGCCTCCTTTCTCCAGCGATAAGGTGTGTCCTGTGCCTGGGGACCAGGGCGGGAGAGGAAGGGGCCAGGCAGATGGGAGGGTCTCAGAGAAACAGAGCTGCCTGCAGTGAGCGACAGACACTGCCCTGTCTGTGGCAAGGAGACCCATGTGTCTCTCGGCTCCCAATGCTGGGAATATGGAGGGGGCACCAGCTGGTGAGAGCGCCGGGTGACCAGGGCCTCACATCCAATACCATTCCGTTTAGGGGATGCCAGGGGTGTGGTGGGGCGAGCCAGCCAGCGAGGCGGTGACATCAGCTGGTGGGGACGTTCCTGGGGCTGCCTCGGGCTGGGCAAAGCTGTCTGCCCCCAGGTACCCATCTTGACTTTTGGTGTCTTCTGGGCATAAGATGTGTCTGGTGCCCCCCAGGGTCCTTGGGACAGAGCAAGGGCTGTGTTTGGGAGGCACGGGGGCTTCTGGAATGCTGCACAGCACACAACGCTTCCAAAGGCAGCCTGGGTGCCAGGAAGGAGCTGGGGGTGGGGGTGGGGGTGGGGGTGGGGTGCCTAGGGCCTGAGGGCCACTCTGTGTGTATGGAGGAGTGGGAGTGGGGTGCTTTACCGACCATCAGAGGTCCCGAAGCCCCCTGCATTCAAGCTCCCCATCCTCGCTGGCTTAATCCCTCCCCAGGAGGACAATCAGACCCCCAGATGTCTCTGAAGAAGCCCAGGACCCTGTCCCCTCTCCAGCTGGCCTCCTGCATCAGCCGAACCTCACACATGGTGCCCTCACCCTTTAGCCCTTTGCCCCAACAGGTTATCCCCTGAGTGGAGGTTACGGGGTGGGGACACAAATGCCCACCCCGCATGGCAGAAGGGTGATGCCCCTGCTTGGTTCTCTCAGGGCCACTGGGTCCTATAGGAGAGGTGACACATTCACAGAGCCCTCAGCTGTTGGCTGTCTCCCGAGTGGGGCTGGGACACAGGTGGCAGGAGAGCCTACTAGGGGCGAGGGGTGGGGGGCTGGGGGCTAGAACGGGGAGCCCCCAGGGCTGGGGAGCCACGCTCCGTGATGCTGGGCCCCTATGCCTATGGGATGGGGCTCTGGCCAGGCTGGGTGGTCTGGCTGGGCCCTGCCACCTGAAGAGGGGAGGCCCCCCACCATGGTTAACAGGCCTTGACTTTAGGGGGGGTCTCCCCAGCCTTGGTCTTGCTCCCCCTTGGGGGAAGGGTTCACCCCAGCCATAGCCCAGAGCAGTTACGCTCCAGGGCAGGGTCATGCAGCCTGCCCCCTGCACTGCCCCAGTGTCCCCCGGCACCCACAATCTGAGTGGTGTCCCAGTTTGGAGTTGTGCCCAGCAGCCTGGCCATGCCCTCTGCAAACTTCTCACTTTTCAGGGTCAGAGGCTGGCTGTTGGGGGGTGGACAGTGCACAGAGTTGGGGTCTCAGCGCCTGCAGCTGAGCCTCGGGACTGCCCTAAGGGGTCGTGTAAAACCTACCAGACAGGTCATTGGAAAGGGGGCAAGTGAAAGGGCTCCAAGGTGGGCATGGGCTGGTTGACAGATCTTTGTCTCCCCTCCCGCTCCGGGCACCCTCAGCTCCCACAGAGAGAAGGGTGCTGCCTGGGCCCCGGGGAGCCCTGGCCTGGCCAGAACTAGGAACCAAGAGACTCAAACCGGCTTTCTACAGCCGGTCATTGGGCATGAGGGGGGCATGGGCCGTGGTCTGGCTCAGGGGCTGGGCAGGAGGGTCACCTTCATGGAGCCTTCCTCCCTCACGGCTTTCCAGTCGGTGCTGATCCATAGAGACCCTAGAAGACAGGGTAGAACTGCCCGGTGGGTTTCCGAGACTGTCATTCTCTATGGGAGCAGAAAGCCTCGTCTTTCTCCCACAGAGCAGCTGGTGGTTTCGAACCACGGACCTTGTGTTTAGTAGCACAAGGTGTAACCCAGGACACCACCAGCCACTTACACATCGTGGGATGAGACACTGAGATTTCCCATTACACCTGGTTTGAGTTCTGCTTTAACTCTTCCTTCTTCCCCAGCATTGCTGTGGGGAGACCCTTAGCCAGTCTACCCTCAGGCTTGGGGTGGGTGGTGGCAGTGTTCTCCCTTCCTCCTTTGTGACCCTCTTTCTCCAGCCCCCAAACCTTCTACCTGTAGTCTTCTTGGACAGCGGCAGTCAGCTCTCTCTGCCCAGTCTGCTGCGACCAGGCCGAGCCCTGGGTGCGGGCTCTCAACCCGTCCAGAGGCTCAGCATCATGGAGGGCGAGCAGTGTGCAGCTTCCCTGGTCCTGGGCCCTGGAGACCCGCACGGGCCCGGCCCGACTGGGGCTCGGAAATCTGAGTGTTAGCAGCCTGGGCAAGGGGTTCTTCTTTAAACATTTCTCCTGATGATTATCCATTGATCGTTAAAAAAAATTTGTGGAAACTAGCTTGTGTGTCCTAGAAGAATTTAAGTCCGTTTTAATTTCATGTTTCCTCCTTTTATAACCGCTCAGACTGCGGCGTGTTTGGATCTGATGTGTGAGGAATGTGGAGGGGGTTTTGAAAGGCTGATCTGGGTGGGTGATCTAGAAGCCCCACGTGGAGTTTGGCGTTGGGGGCCTTGAGGGCTTAGGGACTCCGAGGGTCTCCCAGGGCCCAAGACAGCTCCACTCTATACCAGGCAAAACTGAGGCCTGCTCAGCTTAAGCAGCAGTTGGGGTGGGGACCGGGGTCTGCGCTGCCCCAGGCTGCCCCTGACTGCCCGCTGTACCCGCAGTGACCGGCGGCCTGGAGTCCCGCGGTGTGCTGCGCAAGATGAGTGACCTGCTGGAAATGATGGTGAGACGCATGGACGCACTGGCCCGGTTGGAGAACAGCAGCGAGCTGCACCGGGGGGCCGGCGACGGGCGCCTGGCCCTGGACAGGTGAGCGGCCATGAGCTGTGCGCCCCGAGATGCACCTCAGAGCCCCGAGGGTCTTTCCTCTGCGGGAATATTGAACGCAAGAGGATCATGCAGTCACACCACCCATGTGCCAGGAAGTTCCTCTCACATCTGCAGGCCCCCCATTTCCCTGTAACTAAAACATCACAGGCCCCTGTACTGCTTTTCCCTGCAGACGGGTGCCCCCCTGGAGTAGATGCAGGCCCCTCCCATTGCTGGGGTCTCTCTCTCCTCTCTCACAAGCGTGCACGCACGCACACGCACTAACACTCTGCAGGAGGTGGAAGTACAGCACATGCAAAGGCCCTGGGGTGGGAATAAGCTTGACATGCTGGCAGAGAGAAACAATAGGAAGGCCCAGATGGCAGAGCAGGGGTGGGGGGTGAGGCCACGTGGAGGCGGCCACTTTGCTGGGAGCCAACCGGGTTTTAAACCACAGGGGGGACGCTCTAGTTATTTGCTGCCATCAAGTGGGCCCCAGCTCACGGTGACCCCACGCCCAGCAGGATGGGACTCTTGTGATCCACAGGGCTTCCCTGGACTGGTGCTTGGAAGTCCATCACCGGGTCTCTTCCTAGTCTCTCAGTCTGGAAGCTCCGCTGAAACCTGTTTTGCCTCACAGCCACGTGAAAGCCTCGCTCACAGATGCGTGGCGGTGGCCACACATCAGGGGCCTTGATTGGCGGGGGATCGAACCTGGGTCTCCAGCACGGAAGGGGCACATTCCAGGACAGATGCATTTGATTGCTGTGTGAAGGCCAGGCCAGTGGGGTGGACAGAGGGACAGCGATGAGGCAGTGGCCGAGACTGAGTAAAGAGAAGACGCTGGGGGGCTCCAGCGCTGGGATGCTCATAGGACACCAGTACTTTTCCCTCAGTGAGGGTGCCTCCCCTCTGATCCAGCCCCCGCCCCTCTCTGATCCAATCCGCTCCCTGTCTGCCCCCAGGCAGTACTGCTGCCTCTGGCCCTGACTGCTGTCCAAGGTCAGGCTGGCAGAGGGCGCCTGGCTCTCCGTGAGCTGCCCCCCCCCCCACACACACACACACACACTGTGGGTGGCAGAGCTGAGGGTCAGGCAGATGGCTGGCCTGGCTGCCGCCCTGGACTGGGGCACAACTGTCAGTCAGTACAGTCACTGCCTCTCTGCCCTTTTCCTGCCCTCCATCTGTTCCTGGGGGTGGAGGCAGCCCGGAACGGGGAGCCCAGCCCTCTCCACCTCCCAGCTCCATCCCAGGAAATAGCTACCATCTATCAGTGAGCAACTGAGCCATCAGACCCCAGGGCTAGAGCCTGCATTTCAGGGACACTTGTCTCTGGCTTCCGGGAGGGCAGGCTCTGCTGGGGACTCACACCTCCCCTGACACAAACTCTCCAGGAGGAGGAAGCCTCATCTTTCTCCCATGGAGTAGCTGGTGGTTTTGAACTGCTGATCTTGGGACCCCATCTATTCAAACTACAGAGCAACACACCGCCCGGTCCTTTGCTTGAGCCCATTGTTGCAGCCACTGTGTCAATCCATCTTCTTGAGGGTCTTCCTCTATTTTGCAGACCCCACCCCCGCTCCAAACAACACCAAAGCTTCCATTTGAATTGTGCTGGCAGACAATCCTGCAGGTACTGTGGACTGCAGACACACAAGCAACTGGCTGGGAAGAAGTACAGCCAGGACGCTCCGTAGAAGAGAGGACGGTGAGACTTTGTGTCACCTACTCTGGGCCTGTTATCAGCAGAGACCAGTCCCTGGGGAAGCACGTCGTGCTTGGTAGGGGGACAGCGAAAGAGAGGACGGCGTGGCGGCTTGTTCTGGTGGACGCAGGGTCGCGTGCTCCTTTACCACGCATGACACGCTTTTCCAGGGACTGGTCTCTCCCGAGGACATGTCTGAAGGACGTGAGATGAAGCCTCCCGTCCTTACTTCTCAGAGCACCTGGCTCTGCTTCTTCCTCGGCCTTCCGGCAGTCCTTGGTAAACTCGGTAGTCTTGGCCGACACCGGAAGTCGATGCATCCCTTCTTCGGCGTCCTTTCCTATTTGTGGCTCAGCTTGCGTGTCATGTTGTGGGAGGTGACCGGAGATACCATGCCTGGGCTCACAGTGACCTCCTCGCTTCAATGGGCAGCAGGTGTGCCTGACGGCAGTGCACCATTTGCTTTCTCCACTGCTGCCTCGGGTGTGTGTGTGGGGGTGTCGATTGTAGCCCCAAGTCAGAAATGAACTCTGACGAAATCTGCCTTGCCTCCTTTCGGGATGATGTTGCTCGTGGGTCCCAGCGGTGAGGATGTTGGTGTTCTTGATGTGTCTGCAATCCACGTCCAAATTGTCGTAGCCTTTGCCTCAGTCAACGCCCAGAACACAGCCTTAGGAAGGCGCATGTGATGAAAACAGCCTTGCAGTGATACGTCCTGGAGCCAGATAGGAGACCATCTTTGAAATTCCCCCGGGGACTTCTCTCCACCAGCGGAGATGACTGATAGTGGGGGCTTGGCGTAGCTATTTCTCCTGAGCGTGAAGAAGCTGGACGGTAGATAAGGAGGATTGATGCGTGGGAATGACGGTGCGGGCGAAGAATGCCGGCAGTGCGGTGGACGGCCAGAGCGCCAACCAGATCTATCCTGATAGAAGCTGATGCGTCAGAATTGATTTCATGACCACGGGGTTGCTTGGTTTGGGTGGTTGCAGGAAGGGATAGGGTGGGGGTGAGGGTGGGGGCCAAGGAGAGAAGAAGGGGGAGGGGTGAGGAGCCGTGTTGGTGCCTCTTGGCCTGCTAACTACAAGGTCAGTGGTTCAAACTCTCCAGCTGCCCTGTGGAAGACAGATGAGGCTGTTTGTTCCCAGAGAGATGTGGAGCCTCAGGCACCTGTAGAGGGGTCACTACCAGTCAGAATGGACTGGATGGAAAGTGGACTTGGCTCGGGGCTGTTGGCGAGATGCGGGTCGGACGTAGGGGTGGCGTGAGAGGGCAGGGGGGGTGATTCCCTGCCAGTGCTGTCTGTCTGCGCTCCAAGCAGGCTGGCCTTGGAGTCTCATGTGTCTGCTGCTGGTGGAGGGCGGTGGAGGGCATGGAGTGGCAGGCTGCTACGTGGGGAGAGGTCTTAGAAGCCGGGGTTGGCCCTCCCTCAGCCTGATCATCCTCTCCAGCAAGTCCCTGCAGGGCCACCTCCAGTGTCAGGCAGTTTGCGCAGAGGGGGAGCGAGCAGTCAGATCGCTGACAGCGCCTCCCCCCGGGGGGTTTGACGCTAAGTGGCACATTTATGAGGCCACGCTGGGATCTTCATGTGGAAAGAGCAGGTGATGTCATTATAAATAGAGTCACCTTAACAGCTGTATAAAACCCAGTCAAAATAGATAACAGCGCGGAGCAGAAGCAGAAAGGAGATCCATCAACCGGGTTGTCTTCGGGACAGGAAATGAGCTCCTTTTTCCCATTGTGGGGGGGGGAACATCAGCTTTCTTTAAAAACTCGAAAATGCTTCTCTAGCCCGCCTGCTTGAATGAGGCTTGTCTTCTAGTACTGAGCGGACAGCTGATTTAACCGGGACCCTTCCTGGTGCCTCCCCTCCCCAGCCTCCTGCTGACTGACACACAGACCCCTGGGGAATCACTCTCCCCATCCCACCCCAGTCCCCACCCAAGTCTACCAGCAGCACCCATGTCACTGGGAGGACAGGTGGGTCTAAATCTGCTATTCTCAACCTGTGTGTCGAGACCACTTTGGGAACTGAATGACCCTTTCACAGAGGTCACCCGATTCATCACAGTAGCAAAATGACAGCGATGAAGTAGCAACGAAACTAATTTTGTGGTTGGGGGGTCACCACCACATGAGGAACTGTATGAAAGGGTCGCGGCATTAGAAGGTTGAGAACCCCTGGTCTAAGTAAGCATATAACCGTGGACAAACCAACAGATACAATATTGCTATTCGCTGCCACGGCGACCAGTGAGCAAGAGAAAGAAACGGCCGGTCCTGCGTCAGCCTCACAATTGTTCTGCGCGAGCCTGGGCAGCAGCCACGGTGCCAACCCGTCTTGTTGAAGGTCTTCTTTACGCCGCCCCAAGCAGGATGTCCTCCAGGGGCTGTTGTCTGTCCCAACGTTAGTCCAGAGGACGTGAGACCTAGTCCCTGCATCCTGGCCTCTGAGGAGCACGCTGGTTGTGCTTCGTCCACGACAGCTGTTTGCTCTTTCAGGAGGAGCCCACCCGCAGCGCTTCCCACGTTCTTCGCCCCCTCGCAGCTTACATGCACCGATTCTTCTTCACCCTTCCTTGTTCGACAGCCCCTTTCACAGGCCTGGATTGAAATCACCATGGCCTGGGCCGGGTGCACCCCACCCCTCAAAGTAGCATCCTCGCTCTTCAACACGCTGATGAGGTTCTCCTGCAGCAGCAGCTCGGCCCAACGCCACGCGCCCTTCCATCGCTCCATGGCTGCCCTGTGAGCGTGAACATCCTTGACCCCTTCCGTCTTCGCCAGTCATCACCACGTTGCGGATTGGCCCCGTTGGGGGATTTTGTCTTCTTTACATTCAGCTGCAATTGGTACGGAGCGAAGGCTGATCTTCCTCAGCAAGAGCCTCAAGCCCTGCTCACCGGGCTGTGCCGTCTGCATATCTGGGGGATGACCAGGCCTTCCCTTCCACCGATGCCACAGGCACCAGACAGGAGTAGCTATAAAAACAAGAACCACGTGAAGTGCGCGTACGTGTGTATTTGTAGACACTCGCTCGATGCTGCCAAGCTCATCCGGCTCCCTCAACCCCGAGCGTCCCAAGAAGAGAGAGCTGAGCTTCCCGGGATTTCTTTAGGAAAGCGGCCACCAGGCTTTCCTTTGGATAGCCGGTGGGGCCGCTGGGGGTGCTCTAAGTGCCCGCCTCTACACTGGTCAGACCCAAGACTGAGCCCAAGCTGTGGAGCCCTTGGTGCCTCTGGGCCCTGTGGTTTACATGTAAAAACCCCCAAACAAACCCAGTGCAGATCTCGGT